CCAAGCAGCAATTGTTCAACGCCCTCAGCTTCAGACTTTGAAACTCATGCTTCCTGTGAATCCACACAGGCAGGTGGGATAATTACTATTCATTGTTCTTTTATTCAACCAAAGCAGCCAGTGACTTCAGAAATCTGGTGGTTTCCTTGCCCGCCACACCCGAGGTTGAAAGCACCAGTGGGGTAAATGATGCTCTGTCCACAGGCACCGTATGCCACCTTGTTCATTCTCTCGTGTGTTCTCAGGTGGCTAAGGATTTCCGGACGAGACAGCAAGGACGACCCAGGGTCAGTGACCCTTTATATCAAAAAAGGCATCCTGCCGCCGCGACCAGAAACCCCTAGCCCGTATGTCCAGGCGTGCCTCTGCCTGACGATTAGCCGAGGCAGTAGAGAAGTCCTCACCATGTAGTGGGAGCAAACGTGGCTCGATCTCGACATCGGGCAGTACCTCCTGCAGTGCACGGGGGCCAGAAGGTCGGGCACGTGGAGGGCGTGGCGGGTAGTAATGGACTTCCTGCTAGTCATGGCCCAAATTTGCTCAGCCTTCATCGATATTTTGCCGCACAATTTTGCTACAACATTTTCGATATTCTGCTTGGCATTTCCTTTCTCCGTCGGTATTTTGCTTTGGTTTTGCTCGAGATAAAATGAGTTTCAAGGAAAACTCAACGATAATTGTCGGTGATGGCGCCGGTATTTTTGATTGAGCTTCTGCTGCTGCTCACCTTTCTACAAAAATGTAGCCACGAGTCTGCTTTGTCCAACTTTTGTGCTCATTTTCAACCTTGATTACTGATTGTGTTGGGAAAGTCCCTAAAGCCTTGGATTTTCCGAAAAGCCCACCAAAACTCCATATTTTGCTCAAAACTTGCCGGCAACTTGCGCATCCGATATTTTGCTCAAAGAATTGCTAGCAAATTTGGGCTATGACTACAAGTTCCCGCAGACACAATCCTGAATGGTCACATACACTTTCCAGTCAGGACACTACTGAGGCTTTCCCCAAATCAGCCGGCCGAAAAATTCGCCGAAAACGAGACTTATCGAAAAATCGCTGAGCCTTTCGCCGATTTTGGAGGGTTTCTTTGAGAATCTCCGAAAATCTACCAAATCTTCCAATATCTCACCAATTTTGAAGGCAAAATGCCAACAATTCTGTTAGCCGATTTTCCACTATATTCCAATTTTGCAGCCGATTTTCGAGCAATGAGCTGATTTTGCAGCCGAGCCTGATGTATTTTTGAGCTTAGCGAAAAGCTGAATAGGTGACAAAACGGGCCGATTTGGGGAACTGAGCCTAGTAGTGGGCACGCCCTTTTCGTCTGCTACTGCAGGCAGCTGCTGCTGGACCAGTGAAAGCTCCGCAGCACGCTTTGTCTGCTGCTGCCGGTACTCATCGACTTTTTCCTGGCACTTTTGTTGGGTGATGCCTCATGCCTAGGGTCCAGCGGATAATGCCGGCATTATATTCGGCATTATAAGCCTATCCGAGCATTAGAGCATTATGGAGCATTAGGAAGGAACAAGACGAGCATTATGAGGTTTGAGCGGCATAACGAGTTTTATAGTGGATAATGTCGGGAAATCTCTTGGTTTTTGGCAACAATCGGCTAAAGCCATGACTGCCTGAGGTGCAACGCCATAATTGTACCGGCACCTGACTTTGTGAGTGTAGACACCATCACACGTAACACCTTTAGCGCTACATTTACCTGGCAACATGCAGTAATGTCATTGCTACATAAATAAAGTCTTGTAGCAATGTCAGGTAAATGTACATGTGACGTAGCATGCCCAACGCTGCAACTGAGGCTGTTTATGCTTCGAAGTGCACAAAATCCGTAACGATGATTTACGATGATTTTTTTAGAAATCATGGAGAGTCATGGATGATGGAGGAGACTACGTAGACCTACGCGAAGTGAATATCAAACAGAGGAAGAGGAGTTTCCTGTTAATAAAAGTGTTATGCCATAGGCTCTGGCCATAGCATGTCTAGCGATACTGAAGTAAACACTAATCCATTGATAACAATTTGGACCCGCATGAAGGAGCGGCTATAAACGGATAGAGCTTACTCCATAATTAATAGGCTTCCTTTGCCGAGTCCAGCTCAGCAGGCTCGAAAAGAACTAGAATTTCTCATGGACGCAGCACCAAGTCGAGTTGAGTGCTCAGCACCGCATGTTGTACTTTCCTGGTGAAGCACGTACAGTTCGTCGTGGACGATTGTAATGCAAGGCCTACAGTCAAGTGCTATCAGAAAAGAAGAGTATTGTGGCCAACCATTCGTCTCCACGCAACCTCAGGAGAAGAAGACAGCGCAAGCAGAGGGTGTAGAGCGGCAAAATAACTTCTGATCACGTGTGTTCAGGATTTCCGCAAATGGGAGGGATCTCGATCTGAGATCGTCTCTCAGGAACTTGCCTCACGTAAGCTGTTTCAGATGAAGACATTTTTCACAGAGTGGAAGAAGTTACAGCTTGTCTGCAGGCAGGAATATCACTTCTCATAATAAGCTTTCAGCATCCAATTGATTACGAGCAATAATGGTCTCACATCCCACTTCATGGATAAGCAAGGGAAAAGATTTGATACACCCACTGTTCAGCCACAGCCCTGCATCAAAGTTGCAATGGAGATCAGCCAATGGAGACGCGATCATGTCTTATAGTGCTGAGAAGTGGTGCAGCTCGTGAGAGATATTGCAGTAGCTTCAGAGGCAGATTGACTACATGTAAATGCATCCCGGGTTTCCTGGAAGTTTGACAATGTGCAGCATTTCTTCCATTTTTGTTCCAAACCAAGAGCATTATAGCCCTTGTTGGAGCATTATAATCAGCATTATCAGGTAGTTTTTGGAGCATAATGATTAGCATTATGCGAACATTTTCGGAGCATTATCCGCTGGACCCTACTCATGCCTCGCCAACGGCTTTGAGAACAGGATTAGCCACGCCCTCCGCGATCATACCTGCCAACCCACAACAATCCAAGCATCCCGATTGGGCCTGGATCGTCCTGATATCGAGGTAGGACTGAGTATACTACCTTCCAACAACAAGCCCCCTGAAGCCCATCCTCCCACCTCCAGCCAACCCCCGCCCAGTGGGTGGTTGGTCCACTAGGTTAGCCACGGAGTGCCCACTGCCACCCGCTCCAGCTCGACGCTGCCCGTGCTCATTCGTAGCAGCCTCCAGGGTTCCTACCCGGACTGCATTATTCCCTTGTGGAACAGCCTACCAGAGACCATTCTACCAGCACGGCCGCAACCCAGACAGCTCCAATCCTTCAAGGAAAAATGCAGCAAGTACCTGCTGCACCTGAACTGGCAACCAGCCACCGACGCCCTATGAAACGGTTTAGATCAGCGCCTCACTAGCATCCTCCTCCCCCCCCCCTCCTTACCACAATGTGACGTTATCTTTCACTCTGCTTCTCTCACGACCATCTACCCATTGTCCTCGTTCCTCACTATTATTCATTTCCCCTCTTCCTCCCCTCCTCATGGTTTTACTGCATTATGGCACGCTTTGACGGTCTGCGTAGGCGCCAAGACCTTTGAGGTCGGCAGAGCAGCCTGGCCCCCGGCCCCACCACCACTTCTCGCACATATTCGGGAATACAGTGGACTTTCGTATAAAACAATTTTTTTTAAACGACGTCCAGCCCGACGACCAAAACTGGCACCGGGGTGCGGTAGGCTGCCCGTTTCGCAGGGTGGTAATAGGCAGTGCCCAAACTGCACTTATCGCATCCCTGAGCTACAAGTACAAAATTTATACGATGATACAGTCGTGTTCACCTGAGCTTATTGTCCCGATCTCACTGGTTTGCAAAGGTTGGCAGGTACCGGTATGCGCGATACTCCAAGAGTCAAGATATTTTGCGAGTTTTGATTCGACTACACTCGTACTACTTTCAAAACACTACTAAAAGGTGTCACCATGGTCACAGTTTATTGGACTTGTACCCAAGCCAAGGACAGATATAACCTGCATGCTGTTATTACTAGCAAGAGTACATAATAATAAAACTTGCAAGTAAAAACTAATCAATATAGCTTTTCGGCTGTTTCCTTTTCATGTATAATCTTCTCCTTCTTTTACCATGGTTGGCTATCACCCACATCTTCCCGTTTTGGCTGCCATCGGAAGCCATAAGATGTTGAATAAATAAATAAAATAAATAAATGTACATTATGTACTCTTGTTACTAGTACATAATATTATAGTATGCGAGAGCGTAGACCTACTCTTTGTACAGCCTCTAGCTCTGCGGCCTTTGGACCGGCAATCAAAAATCAATCAATCAATCAATCAATCATCGTCATGTAGCATTCCCACTTCACGTGACTTCGCAGCCTCCGAACTCCGAACGGTACTCCGAAGTCCGAACAGGTCGTTACGTAGCCACATGTAGCTACTCTGATCTTGCCGTCTTCAGTGGTCTTGGTGCGGGTAGTCGCAGTGGCAGTGCAGTGCACTAGTGGCAGTGCAGTGGTCATGGTCACGGTGACCGGTGGTAGATCTACGGCACATATTCACGTCATCTGATAATGATGGTCAAAGTTCAAACAAAGGCAAAAAACAGACTGTGGAAAATCTTTGAATTTTTGCACTCCTTGCACCTGAGCTGAACGACTTTATAATTTAGTCGTTACATGAACGAGGCATGTACGTCAACACGCATGTGGGATTGATCTACTACTAGTACTACTGTAAAAGCAGAAATTTTCGGTGGTGTAATATTTTCGGTATTCGCCAAAATCGGCGGTTCGGTAGCGGGAAATTTTCGGTAAAACCCGTTCTCCAGGTAGGTGTACTAGTACTACATGTATACAGTATCGGTTGTACCGAAAATTTCGGTGCGTTTTATTTGCGGTAAAAATTGTCGGCACCGAAGTTACCGAAAATAAAACACCACCGAAAATTTCTGCTTTTACAGTACTACTTTTAGTGTATAATATACTACTACTTTGTAGTAGGCGGTGTGTGGTGCGGCCTCTGCACTTGTTGAACAAGTACTGCGTCCTTCACTTCTCAACTGCTAGTAATTGTTACTACTGTAGTTAGTTCGGGCATTTTGCATTCGTTTCCTCAATCTGTCTAGGAGTTTGTTCTTGAGGTCCAGTACATGACTCATGGATTGAAGTTCAGTTCATAGGACACCGTGTTTGTTTGATTCCAGTGGCCGTGGTCATTTGCTCTTTTCTGCGAGCTGTTTAGAACTGTGGATTGAAAACGATTTCTCATATTAAAGTTGCCGAGAACATTTCATGGAATGGCTGAGCAGGAGGAAGGCGTTTTGTTCAACGAAGGGAACTTGACGTGTATCGCGCAGAACTGGAGTTCTATCCCGGACGATGTGGTACAGCGGTATGCAGCCACGACTAAGCGCCTGGACATGAGCTTCAATGTGCTGCGCGAGCTGTCTGGCCTTGAGAATTTTACATTGTTAGAGGAGCTGGTTGTGGATAACAACGAGCTAGGGGATAGCGTACGATTTCCTCCTCTAAACCATCTGCACACAGTCATGTTGAATAAGAATGCCATCATGAACATCGATGGCCTGCTTGAGGACATGGGGAAACAGCTGCCCGCACTGCGCTTTCTCAGTTTACTAGGGAACGTTGCGTGCCCGAACGAATTGTCCAGTTCAGAGAAGGATGAGGATGATTATCGACGGTATCGGCTGTATGTCTTATACAAGCTGCCCAACCTTCGCTTCCTCGACTCGCGTCCAGCATCGCAGAAGGAAAAAGCCGAGGCGGCACGGTCCGGGCAGTTCATGAAAGTTGTGCGCATGGACGAGACGACGACGGACACGGGACGGCCACGGGCACGCTCGTCGGAGGTGAGCGGCGAGGACTACACGCCGCTGCCGCAAACGCTGGCCAGCGCGGGCGATCACAAGGGCACGTTTGGTGTGTGCCGATACGTTTACTACGGTCGCCACTCCGAGGGCAACCGCTTCATCAGGAATCGCGATCTATAAACGTCTATTTCAACGTTTATATCTGTGAGTAGCCATCATTTAGAGAACATGTCCGTACAGTACTGTTTGTGAAAGTAGACCAGTCATGAAAGGTCTGCAACATGATAAACTTCTGGGATGCAGAGTTTTTTTTGAGAAGATCTCCCGTCCTGTGATACTTGTAGCTGTGAATGATGTTTAATTTGATTTTGTGTAGGCGGCAATGGTCATCCGCACCGAGACAACCTAATGGAATGATGTCACTAAGTTGTTCATGCCTGTTCTGTGATTTATTTAGCACAGTTTGTGGTTTCCTGGCGCGCATGTGCATTCTTCTTCCACATGGAACACATCCGTATCACGTGCCACCTTACTAGAGCTAGAGTTAGTTAGCCTTTCCGCTAGAGCCGTCTATTGTAATTTTATTCGCTCCACTTAGTGTGAAACAGCCTGCAGTCTCTATGCATATGTCTTTATGAGCAGCTGCTGGAACAGCTGTTGTAGTGCTATTAATATCGCTGTACTTTTTTTTTACTTGCTCGCTTATTTGTACAGCGCTAGCGTGCAACTGCTTCACATGACTTTGTTTTAGGTATGGGCATGTGTAAAGTGCGCATTTTGCCTCGTGCGTTAACCTCATTTTCAGTGAGAAATGCCTTTTTCTAATTTGCTACAGTGCATGCACATGTATACAGAAGCCGCACATGTGTGTCGCACTGAAAGTAAAGGTGTATGTTTGAGGCTTCGTAGGTTTCTCTTTTCCCAGTTCAGTTCCAGCCCTTCTATTTTCCTTAACCTTAACAAAGGACTTACCCTAAGTCTTTCCACCTCTTATTGATTGTAGTTCTCTGTTCCCATAACTTTCTGTATGTATGTGTGTGTGTGTGTGTGTTGCCGAATGATCAAATTAATTTTGATGTAGGTCACATGCATGTTGCGGAGATTACATAAACGCGCGCGATCAGTGATTCACTATTACATTTTGTGCGGTGAATTTCTGTTGAATGCACGGTCAATGCGTGGCCAGCATTTGGTGTGTTTCTGGGGCTTACCGGCACAGTGCCTGTCACACTGTGTGTGTGTGCGTGCAGTGCACTTTTCGATTGGTACTTTGAGGGTTGGGGCGCTCTCGGTGCCTTTCCAGTTTCCGGATACTCGTATGCTATCCTCCATTTCCACTTCTGGCTCATCCAGGCCGACTATTAATTATGGTCATGTGCACCCTTGCTATTCCGATCTCTTGCTGACATACAGACTACAGTCCATTCATAACAAAAGATGAGCACAGGCTTTGGGTGGCGAGTTCCCGTACTTGGTGATTTTCGTGATTTTATTGTACTCGGTGCAGTGCCGCGAAATTTACCCTAGCCTAGGGGGTCTGGGGATCGAACCGCACAATGTACTGTTGCAAGTGGAGTGAAACGTCCTGGTTTTTCATGGCTTCCCTATTCAGTGGTTACCTGGCTGAAATCTTATTCTTGTTACGGTTTGTTTTCTGGAGAAATAGACAGTCGACTTCAGAAACATAGGTACTTCGAAGGGAAGAGCATTCCATGGGGAGTGGAACAAATAATTGTAAAAAACTCTAAATTTTGACCCATTTATGGCCAAAAGGCAAAAGCTAGGATATCATTTTTTGGACTGTAAAAAAAAAAGTAAATTATCGTGTCCGTTCCCGAAGGGAACTCACGACGGCCGCTAACACCCGGTAAACCCTAGCGGCAAGCAGCCTGCAAGAATTGCATTTGACCAATGGCCCACCTCACCAGATCAAGGTGTGGGTCCTCGTCACTCAGTACAATCACATGGAGTCCAACCGAGCAAGCCGCATTCCTGGTCCTGAGAGGTGATTCCACACCCCACGTACATGTATGGCAACTTTCCCCATGTCTCACCCCCAGAGTCAGACAAAGTCAATACTACACTGGCCGAAGATGAAAAAAGGTGGTTTAAAAAAAAAACAGGGGAGAAGGAGGGGAATGCCATGCACTTAACTCATTTCACAACTAGTAGCACGACACGGGGGCAGGGAAGTATCCTGGATAAAATGCAGAGCATCGGCGGTATGCCATCACGAAAGTGATGATGAAACATGAAAAGAGGAGCTGCGCATTGCCAAGAGCACGTTACTTGATTACGTACATGTGCTAGGCTTGGTAATGGTCCGCAGACACGATTACAACATGGTCCTCTTAGTAATAAATAAGTAGATAGTATGAAAGAGCAGGGAGTCAACAGAATAGTAATGATGAGGTGACAACGCCCAAGCCCAAGGACGATATTTTGAGGATAAAATCAAAAATCATTCAAAAGGTAAAAGTCAGTTTTGAACTACACGAGCTAAAGGTTGATGAAGACATTCTATCTAAACTTTTGATGGCAATCTTTCATGGTGCTATTATCATTCACAGGGGTCATTCAGATCAATTCATTAAGTTTCAACCCTACGAATAACTTACGAGGAGACTACAATAAACCGTTCAAGTATTGAGTGTGTGCAAATCACAGTCAACGCTCAGAAGGGGCATTGATGATCAGCTGATTACAGACTGAGTTCTTTTGCCTGCATGGCAACGCAGAGACAGCACACCAAGAGGAGTGCATTGGTAGCCTGCATCATCATGTTGCAGTGGTTTGTAGCGTGCATCATCATCTTGATCATGCTGTGGCCGTCTCTGCAAGCTGCAGCTCAAGGTGCAGTAGTCCGCCGAGGTGATGCTCAATCAAGAGGTTGGCCAGCGACATGAGAACTACATACCAGCGGACGTACCACGTTGTTAGTATTGCAAAGCTCGTCGCCAGCGTGAACAAGACCCAGAAGAGAGCAACGTAGAACAGGCGATGGTGAACAACCAGGTTTAAGGCGCCAATGTCGATGGCCTTGTGAATTTGCTTTGCCTGACTCTGCGCGTCTGTGGGAAGCTCAAACGAGCCACTGCGGTAGAACTGAGCCAGGCGTGTTTCTTTGTGCTCCCAATCACTTTTCAGCCATGCACTAAGTTCCTTGGCGTCGTCCGGCATGGTAGACATAGGGTGGCGCTTCAGATGAAAGTGTATCTCCTCCGGAAAGTTGCCGAGGAAGATTTCCTTGAAGCTGTAGACAATATTCTTGGGATAGGCCACAGTCATGTCTACAACACAGTCCAGATGATCATTCAAGTGAGACACAAGGTAGGTGAAACCGGATGTGCGAGGATGCAACAGGTGCTCATAGATTGGCAAGTTGTTAGCTTTTGCGTAGGCGTCGCTCTTGGCTTTTCCACTGCCCTCGAGGTCGGCGCCTTCGGGAAAGAGCAGGAGCTGGATTGGCGCACCGGACTGCTTCAGGTGCTTGCAGTGCTTGGCCAGCAACAACTGATCCTCCTGCCAGTTCCTCTTGACGAACAGATAGCCACAGGCTTGGCAAACATAGCCTGCACATTCACAGCCAGCGACAAGCACAAGCACAAGCGCACATACACACACACACACACACACGCACACACACAGACACACACACAATACAGGCTACATGTAAATGCATTTTTCCGTGAATTTGAAATGGCGTAACAGGCTGCAGCGTACTTACCCCAGATAGGTACGTGGCGAAGGGAATCTTTCAACACCAGCTTGAAGTGCTCTAGCATACCAAAGCGTGTGTAGATCATCCACGAGTAGGCCCAGTCCAGTTCAGTTCGATGGTTACCGATCATCAGGTAGCGTTCATCTGGACTCACGTAGTCGCCGTGAAATACCACCTTTGTGCCGCCGAGAAGTTCTGCAGTCAGAGCGGGAGGAGGTAAGCAAATCAGTAGGTGATTACAGTAAAGCCTGCCCTAACCGGATGCCCTTGGCGCAGCGGAAACTTTCCTAATAATGGCAGGATTCCGCTTGATCCAGGGACGAACGTTCAATCCACAGCACTTTGGTGCATGAAAATGTGTCCGGTCAATACAGGATTCCGCTTGGTACAGGGTCCAGCCAACGCAGGATTCCGCTTGGTACAGGGTCTGGACAACACGTGATTTACTGTACAACGCAACCTCAGAAATCCAACCACCCTCACTGGCCTCAGGTCCGGCGGCAGAAACGTCTGATTAGTGAAAAAGACAATCCCGACCACACGTGCTTGCCAGACTTGCCTTGAAATGATGATAGCAAAACTGTACAACCACACACTACTCAAACATCTGCTACGCGCATTCGGGATTGACCGCGTCCGCAATGTCCTATGATGTCATCCACACACACACACACACGTTGAAGTACAGAGATCACTATGACTGTAGGAACTTACCGAGCAGAGCCTGGCATGACACATTCCACATCCACATAGGGATACATGGAGCACCGTGTAAACACATACACACATACACACACATACACACACATACACACACATACACACACAAACCCGCGCACGTGCATACACATGCGCACAGACACAAACACACAGGCACGCACACCGACACAAACAGACATTAGGTTGCAGAAAAGGGAGGTTGGTCCACACCCTGCAAACCTGCTGCACATCTCGGCTTTATCCGAGCACACAGCTGTTGGCGGTAGCACAGCGCTCACTACATTCCTGATTACAAATAATTACAATGCTGACTATTGATTTCATTGGCTCGAGGACTACCTGGCACGTGCTATAGTCTTCATGGATTCCTCACAGACAAGAACTACAAACGCAATTCGCAATCTATTGTACACTGGACGCATGTGTACCACAGTGATGCATGAAGAATAGGACTGGTGTATGGGTTTTGAGTCTACACGGCTTTGCATGTTTTGGGTTCGGATTTCTACTTGGAAATGAGAATCTTCAAGTTGTGGCACACGGAAAGAAAAACGCGCACGGATTAGGCTCGTATCACTGAAATTTGGCAGCAGGCCATACTTGGAAATTCTCACTGTGTGTTGCACGTGATTTCGTTGTGTTTTTCTTTGAATCTTCACCAGAACAAAGAGCAAAGCACGTCCTCGACAACAAGTGAAGCCCAAGCATACGAGTACATGTTCTCAATATTCGCGTTGCGTTCCCGTCATGTACAGCGGTACCTCATGAATGCTCCTAAACCTGGGTTTACAGTAAATGCCCCTGCAAGGTTGTGAGTGCAGCAGTGCACTGTATCATTGTGAGTGTGGAGTATACTGTACAAGTACAAATTTTCGTTCACGAAATCTTTCGTTATTTCACTCCACCAGCTCACGAAATCTTTCGTTATTTCACTCCACCAGCAGGCTTGTTACGTACTAAATTTCGTTTTTGGTCGACGTCTGTCACCCCGAACGTCCAGAAAAAACTTTAGTTTGGGGGGGGGGGGGGTACAAACTTTAGTTATTTTGTGCCCCCTAACGAATATAGCGAAAGTTAATTCCAAGCGAAAATTTGTACTTATACAGTAAGTTTACATTTTCTACGGTTGTGATAACTGGCGCATGGCGACAATTCTGAAAGGTGCCCCGAAGTGACATGGTCTAGACTCCTGTTGCTTATGTGCTTGATGCCAGGGAGTTTAGATGACTCCCTGCTTGATACCATCGACAGTGAACCAGACCTTACAGGGCTTCATGCTAGTAACCTCTGTGCCCCTCCCCCCCCCCCCCCCAGCTCTGTCCCAGATCCGTCACAACAGGCAGTGTACAGGGACATGTACAGTATGATTGCATTATCAAGAGGTACAGGGACATGTACCTACCGTCAATAGAGTCATGAACAGAGCCAGCCAGTAGGTGTTCCATCTCTGATAGAGGTTAATCTTGCGCAGCAGCAAGAACAAGATGGCTCCCGGACACAGGATGAACACAAACGACAGGAATGATGAAGCCACGAAGAAGCAGCAGAACAGAAGCCCTCGGATAGTTTTCGCAAGCGACATTGTCACTGTTTGTTCACATACACTATGTACACGTGCATCCAGGTGGAAATAAAGTTATTACAATTAGAGAATTGAAAATTCAAACAGGAGCGCTGGTCACGTACGGACCGAGTAACGTTATAACAGCCAATTGCCGTGACGTTTCGTCGAAATCACATCGAAATTAATTCTGTGTTTCAGTCCACAATTGTCAGTCCGACTTGTCAGCAATCAGTACAGCTGCACAATAGTTACAGTGTGAAGACAACGAAATTCGAAAGCAAAATGTGCATCTGCAGCTGCAAACCATTTGGCAGGTTGTCAATGACAGCCACGTGACGACGACAGTCGCGTCGAACCAGGGAGTCGTAAAAATGTACATTTTACGACTCCCTGCGTCGAACCCAAACCTGGTTTCCCGGCAACTCCCTGGTTGACAGAAAAGCAGGGAGTCCTGGCCGGGTGCGGGTGGTGCACGGGCACTGGTCCGGATTCTGGTTGGCAGCTTCCCACCGGTCCGTGATGTGGTTTCACACACCGATTACGATCGCCGACGAGTAGATAGTAGCAAGAGTACATGAAAACCGGTTTTCATGTACTCTTGATAGTAGTAGTAGTAGTAGTAGTAGTAGAATTTATTATTTTGATAGGGAAGGCCCTACAGACGTTGCCGTCTTCTTACAGATCTTCGACTCGTAAGATTTTGTCGAAAGTATGATCATGACCAATCCTGGATAGGGCACCCTGATTCTTGAGAGGCCCTCAGTTCTGTCAGTTCTGTATTTCGCGGTTGTGAGAAGCATTCGCCTCCGGACTACTACAAGGATCAGCACACAGTCGGTGCACCATGGCGGCATGGCGGCATACAGCGACACTGACAGTCACAGACTCAGCTGAAGCGTCATGTCACAATTGTCACTAAACGTGTTTTCGTTCATTTTCACGTCGTGTGAATACCCTATAATACTACCAAGAGTACATCACCACCCCTCTTGCTTGCTGCTCGACTATTTTGCTTACTTGGTATACCCGCTTCTGCTGTGCAACTAGCTTTGACGATGTGCTTTATTGCCCCTTGGTTATTATTATAATTACTTGTATGTACTCTGGATACTACAAACAATTGTACATGTACCAAGAGTACATAACCCCCCAGAGTGTGCAACGCCTGATCCAGCTCTGCCGCACAGGGCACAGTTGTTCCGGAGTCGACCAGCTGAAGCTGCTGGGTGTGCTGTTTGACCAACACCTGTCCTTCACAGCTCATATCAGGCAATTGGCTATTCGAGGCTCGCAGCGTCTGGGCTTCCTCCGGAAAGCCTCACGAGTGCTGGACTCTAGGTGCCGTGGAGTGATCTACAAGGGCTTTGTCCGCCCGGTTTTGGAGTACGGCATGCTCGTGTGGATGAGCGCTGCACCCACCACTCTGGCTCGCCTCACTGCCATCCAACGCCGTGGCCTTCACCTAATCGGTGATGGAGCCTACCTCCCTAGCTTGGACACCCGCAGAATGGTCGGAGCACTCTGCTTTCTCTACAAGCTTTTTTTTTTTTTTTTTTTTTTTTTACAAGCTCCACTTTTCAACTGGCCCAGACATGCTTCTCACCCTTCTTCCACCCCGAGCGACCAACACATCACGCCATAGCCGACGCACACAAAAGCATCCCTCACACCAGTTTCAGCTCACTTCCACTCTTCCGCCCAGAGCACGGAATGATGTCCTTCGGTCCTTCCCTGACGCTGTTGTGGAGGTCTGGAACCAGCTAACTGGCCCAGATTACTCAAGACGTCAGGCAACCGATTGGGATCAACAAGGCCAAGGAAAACTCGAAAAAATCAAAAAAAATTAAAAAACATGAAAAAAATCAAAATGACCACATGCACAGTGCTACATCTGCTGATGCCGAGCGAGTAAATTAGTTGTCGACATGGAGCCTGACACCCCGAACCCTCCTGCTGATGCAGAGACAAGCAGCAATTTGAGTACTCCTGAATGCGACAGTGACGGTTTCCGGCAGGTCGTGTCCAAACGAGTTTTGCGGCGGCGGACCACACCCCGGAACCACAGTGACGCATGGAAGCTAGTTGCAGCAGAGCCACCACAGACAAAGCGTGCCGTGGTGTACATTGGTAACCTGAGCACATCCTGCACCGAATCCAGTCTGAAAGAATACATTCAAGTCACAGCAGCTGCTCTTCCCGAGCCACAGTCCATCTCAGTGCTCACGTGCAGTATGTATACCTCTCCACATGGCCGGGTGTCAGCACGAGTAGCCGTGGATGCATCTCTTGTGAATCTCCTGACTGACCCGGAATTCTGGCCCCGGCCACTGTACTGCAGGCCATGGAAGTTTGACGCTGGCCGTAAGCACTCCTCTGCGCACAACGCGGTGGGTCCCAGTGTATCGGAGTCGAACACCCAGTCAGCTGGCCAGGATGCTGACAATGCAGAGCGGACCATGTCAGTTCTGCAGGCAGCCACCCAGTCAGCTGGCCAGGATGCTGCCAATGGGGTGCGACACCAGCCACCTCCACTGACACCGGCTGTTGGAAAATCTCGCTCTTATGAACGGTCCTCGCCACCAGCCCTCCCGGACAGCAAGAGGCCAGACGGTGCAGAGAGTGAGACAACCTCGGGTGACGGCATGTCCAACACTGAAGACCAGGAAACAACACAGTGTGCTGCGCAAGAGTCTACTTAATGCGAGTCTTTTTAACAAATGCATTTGGGCTACTCAGCAAATTTGGTGACTTTCAGCATGCCCTGAACGCACATAAACCTGATGTTGCGATAGTAACAGAGACTAAGTTCACTCCAGATAAGTGTACCGCCTCAGAGTCTACCATTCCAGGTTACGGAGAGCCCCTGCGGATGGACTGCACTGCTCAGGGTGGAGGCGTTGCCATATGGTGCAAGTCTACTCTCG